ATACACACACACACACTCACAGATACATACACACTCACACTCACACACAATGTATACTGTACGAGCACACAAGTGCACACCCTTACATGCCAGAGCAGGCGGTGCTCAAACTGTGTAATTAGGACAAAAAGAAAAGATTACATGATTATTATTCACTTTTGCAGCCCAAAATAAAGTGACTCGCGTCTCCTCGTGGGGACTCTTGTTTATGCAGAGTGTTGTTGTTTATCACTTAGCACGGCTGAGGATGAGGAAGAGGAGAAGATGCCTCGCTTGTGTTTCACCCAGTTGTTCTTAATTTACACCACGCTGTCAGCGTTTGAACGACCGCTCTGCTGCATGACTCCCTTTGTGGAGAGACGAGCTACTCCACGACTGCCGTGTGGAGTGCCAGCCCACTCATCCTCTCCTCTTTCACTACTGCGCTCTGTGTGTGTGTCTGCGAAACGCCCCCATCATTGATGTGGGAGCGCAGGCAGCCCTGGGAGAACACGCCGACTCTGCACACGTTTCTAAAAATAGATGAAACGAAACGCCTCGACCGGAGCCGCTTCGAAGAAGGAGGAGGAGAGACGGAGTTCGACGCTTGATCCGCAGCCCAAAAATGGCTCGTCGGTGATGTCAGTGTGGACGAAAATGCCATCATCTTTCTTCCGTATACTAAATATGGACATGGTTGTAAGGAAGCTCCTGCAGTTCCGGTTCCCCTCTCTGACCATATTTGGGATCCGCCATTCAGATGCAAATCTGAGCAGAGGTGGTACTCGCTCAGATCTGCGCTCTGGCACACAAACCTGAAGAAAAACATCCATTTTGGCTTTGATTTATATAATGTAAGGTGGATGTAGTGGATTTTATATCGGAAGCGTTTTATACAGTTAACACATGGACATACAGTATATCTCCACCTGTCACATCCTCGGCTGTTGCTTTTCATCCCTACCTGTTGATAAGGAAAGGAGTCTGGACAGTGTCCCAATCAGACGATGCAGTACGTCACA